AGGCAAGCCTGTGATTGGGAAGGTGCACAAGTTAGAATCCCCTGAATGGCAGATTAAAAAAAAACTGGATTGGAAAAAGGAAGCACTCACATCTGCTTCCATCTGCATTTATCCTACTGTGGGCCTTTGAGCAAGGCTTTTAACCCTCCAACTGCTCCCTGAGCACCTTAGATGGCCACTAAATTTATTTTTTATGAAAAGTGCACGGGCAGCACGGTGGCGCAACTGGTAGAGCTGCTGCCTCTCAGCGCGCAGGTCCCTGGTTCAAATCCCGGTCGGGGGTCCTTTCTGGGTGGAGTTTGCATGTTCTCTCCGTGCATTCGTGGGTTTTCTCCGGGTGCTCTGGTTTCCTCCCACAGACCAAAAACATGCATGTTAGGCTGATTGGTAACTCTAAACTGTCCCTAGGTGAGAGAGTGAATGGTTGTTTGTCTCGTTTGTCTCTATGTGTCCCTGAGATGGACAGGAGACCCGTCCAGGGTGTCCCCCGCCCCCCGCACAGTGATTGCTGGACAGGAGACCCGTCCAGGGTGTCCCCCGCCCCCCCGCACAGTGATCACTGGACATGGGCTCCGGCGACCCCCATGACCCAAAGAAAATGGAAAAAGCGTGTAAAAGATGATGGATGGATGAAAAGTACACAAATAAAAATGTAAAAGATGGGCTCAAAACTAACTTTGTTCTTATAAAACTGACTGGATTCTGAATTGCTGGATTCCTTAGACAGAGAACTTTACTAATTGGCTTTTATGTGAATGTTCCTGTAAAGTGCACTGAGACAAGTTGTTGTGATTTGGCTCTTTATAAATAAACTGAATTGACTTGAATTGACTTGAATTGACTTGAATTGACTTGAATTGACTTGAATTGACTGTGCTGCAGCCTTTTACTTCTTGCAGCTGGCAGCTTTTGTTAGAAGTCAGCTGCTGGAAGGCTAAAGCCCCTTCAGAATCACCAAAGACCTGATGATGTGCCTGCATCATCCACTATCATTTAAACTTCTGTCTTAACGTGGAAGTCCATTAGAGCAGACTGATGGGAAACCTCAGGCTCGATCCAGGAGGGTACAGAACATTTGGACCACTCAAAGCAAGAGAGGCCTTTCAGACAGAACATGCTTAAAGGTGCAGGAGCAAATTTTAGTGTGTTTTTTTTAAATTACTTTTTAAATATTTAAGCTTGTGGACTTATTCTAGAATAAAAGTATAAATGTTTAAGACATTGGTCATTTTGTCAGGACGATAAAAAAACTTTTTGCTGACCTGCAGGTTAACAGACATGTTCCTGTTTTTAGTACATCACTTTACAATCTAGCTGTTTTTGTTCCGTTTTTTTAATATCATTTTCTTTCATTTGTTCTTCTCAATGTATAAGCTTTCTTTTATGATTGTCATCATTCTTTGTTAAAATCAGGTCTCTCTTGTAAATGAGTCCCTGAGGTTCAATGGGACTAACCTGTAGAAATAAAGCTTGAATGAAAAATAAAACCAGGCCTGGAGGTGGGGCAGGCGGGCGAGCGCCTGGTGGCCGGGCTTTTACCCATGGAGCTCGGCCGGGCACAGCCCGAAGAGGAGACGTGGGTCCCCCTTCCCATGGGCTCACCACCTGTGGGAGGGGCCAAAGGGGTCGGGTGCAATGTGGGATGGGTGATGGCCGAGGGCGGGGACCCTGGCGGTCTGATCCTCGGCTACAGAAGCTGGCTATTGGGACGTGGACTGTCACCTCACTGGTGGGGAAGGAGCCTGAGCTGATGTGTGAGGCTGAGAGGTTCCGGCTAGAAATAGTCGGACTCACCTCTACGCATGGCTCTGGCTCTGCAGTTTCCTTGAGAGGGGCTGGACACTCTTCCACTCTGGAGTTGCCCCTGGTGAGAGGCGCCGAGCAGGAGTGGGCATACTTATTGCCCCCCCAACTTGGTGCCTGTGAAGAAGGAGTCCTATCGGGCCTTTTTGGCCTGTGGGACCCCGGAAGCAGCTGATGGGTACCGGCAGTCCAAGCGACATGCGGCTCGGGTGGTCACTGAGGCAAAAACTCGGGCATAGGAGGAGTTCGGAGAGGCCATGGAGAACGACTTCCGCATGGCTTTGAGGCGATTCTGGTCCACCATCCGGCGTCTCGGGGGGAAGCGGTACGCCACCAACACTGTTTATAGTGGGAGTGGTGTGCTGCTGACCTCAACTCGGGATGTCGTGGGTTGGTGGGCGGAATACTTTGAAGACCTCCTCAATCCCACCGGCACGTCTTCCACTGAGGAAGCGGAGCCTGGGGACTCTGCGTCGGGTCCTCCAATCTCTGGTGCTGAGGTCACCGAGGTGGTTAAAAAGCTCCTCGGTGGCAGGGCCCCATGGGTGGATGAGATTCACCCGGAATTCCTTAAGGCTCTGGATGTTGTCGGGTTGTGTTGGCTTACGCGACTCTGCAATATTGTGTGGACATCGGGGGAAGTTCCCCTGGATTGGGAGACCGGGATGGTGGTCCCCCTATTCAAAAAGGGGGACCGTAGAGTGTGTTCCAACTACAGGGGAATCACGCTCTTAAGCCTCCCTGGTAAGGTTTATTCGGGGGTTCTGGAGAGGAGGGTCCGTCGGATAGTCGAACCTCGGATTCAGGAGGAGCAGTGCGGTTTTCGTCCTGGTCGTGGAACACTGGACCAGCTCTACACCCTCAGCAGGGTCCTGGGGGGTGCGTGGGAGTTTGCCCAACCGGTCTACATGTGCTTTGTGGACTTGGAGAAGGCGTTCGACCACGTCCCTCGGGGGACCCTGTGGGGGGTACTCTGGGAGTATGGGGTACCGGGCCCTTTGATACGGGCTGTTAGGTCCCTGTATGACCGGTGTCAGAGCCTGGTCCGCATCGCCGGCAGTAAGTCGGGCTTGTTCCCGGTGAGAGTTGGACTCCGCCAAGGTTGCCCTTTGTCACCGATTCTGTTCATAACTTTTATGGACAGAATTTCTAGGCGCAGCCAAGGTGTTGAGGGGATCCGTTTTGGTGGCCTTAGGATTGTGTCTCTGCTTTTTGCAGATGATTTGGTCCTATTGGCTTCATCAGATCGTGATCTACAGCTTTCGCTGGAGCGGTTCGCAGCCAAATGCGACGCGGACGGGATGAAGATCAGTTCCTCCAAATCCGAGGCCATGGTCTTGAGCCGTAAAAGGGTAGAGTGCCCTCTCTGGGTCAGAGAGGAGGTCCTACCCCAAGTGGAGGAGTTCAAGTATCTTGGGGTCTTGTTCACGAATGAGGGAAAAATGGAGTGTGAGATCGATAGGCGGATAGGTGCAGCGTCTGCAGTGAAGCGGGCGCTGTACAGGTCTGTCGTGGTGAAGAGAGAGCTGAGTCAAAAGGCAAAGCTCTCAATTTACCGATAGATCTACGTTCCCACCCTCATCTATGGTCACGAGCTTTGGGTTGTGACCGAAAGAATGAGATCTTGGATACAAGCGGCCAAAATGAGTTTTCTCCGCAGGGTGTCTGGGCTCTCCCTTAGAGACAGGGTGAGAAGCTCGATCATCCGAGAGGGAGTCAGAGTAGAGTCGCTGCTTCTCCACATCGAGAGGAGCCAGTTGAGGTGGCTCGGGCATCTGTTTAGGATGCCTTCTGGACGCCTCCCTGGTGAGGTGTTCCGGACACGTCCCACCGGAAGGAGGCCCAGAGGAAGACCCAGGACATGCTGGAGGGACTATGTTTCTCGGCTGACCTGGGAACGCCTCGGGATTCCCCCGGAAGAGCTGGCCCAAGTGGCTGGGGAGAGAGAAGTCTGGGCCTCCCTACTTAGGCTGCTACCCCCGTGACCCGACCCCGGATAAGCAAAAGAAAATGGATGGATGGATGGATGGATGGATGGATGGATGGATGGATGGAT